GTTTTTTTAAAAAAATCTGTTTTTGCAAATGTGTATACTCATTATAATTAATGATGTTGTTGTGCATCATTGTTACTTGGGAAACTTTGAGGAGAGCGAATGCGATATTTGGAACAGAGAACAAAGATCTCTACATGTCTTTCCAAGTACTTGTCCCCAAGAACAAGACCTAGACACTCACAAAAAGTTGGATTCAAAGAGAATAAGAGATGAAGTAATGTATTGGCTCTGTTTTGTTTTAATAATAAGTTTACTACAGTGTGTGGGTCGGCCCATTGGGCCTAACTTTAAATATTTGGAAAGCTAAGAAAAGAGATCGGTTTATTTTTACTTTCATACTTCAGATTTGTGTTTCATTTTATTTGGTGAGGATTGTGCACACAAGGTGTTTGATATAATGTCTAAACCATTATTATACAGAAAATGTTCGATCTTTTGCAGTATGGTTCAAATTCTGGAGAAGAATATGTTCAGAGAAGTTGAAAATGTCGTGTTGGTGAGACACAGCTCAGGTGGAGGATGGAGACCGAAGAAGAAAATATACCATAGAGTTCATGAGCTTGATAAAGCCATAGACTTGAAGAAGAAACCAGCTCTGATACTTGAGCTGAAATCCATTATTCAGACACAGAAACATGGAAGCATTCTTCTAAGGGATCTTGAGAAGCATGTTGGGTTTGTTCACAAGTGGAATTTAATGGCTGCCATTGAGAAGTACCCTTCGATATTCTATGTTGGTGGTGGAAACAAAGAACCTCCTTTTGTTATGTTGACTGAGAAAGCTAAAGAGATTGCAGCTGAGGAAGGTGAAGCTATTGAGTCAATGGAACCTATTCTGGTTAAGAATCTCAGGAAGTTATTGATGATGTCTATTGATTGTCAAGTGCCTTTGGAGAAAGTTGAGTTTATTCAATCTGCAATGGGTTTGCCTCATGATTTTAAGAGTACATTGATCCCTAAGTACCCTGAGTTCTTCTCTTTGAAGGTTATTAATGGAAAAGTTAATCTTGTTTTAGAGAATTGGGATTCTTCACTTGCAATCACTGCAAGAGAGGATAAGTTATCTCGTGAAGGAGTTCTCGTCGAGCCAATTGGGAACAGAAAGAAGGTTAGGATCACAAAAGATGGTAATTTCTTGGGAAGAAATGCGTTCAAGATTTCTTTTCCTCCTGGTTTTAGGCCTAATGCAAGTTATCTAGAGGAATTTGAGAAGTGGCAGAAGATGGAATTCCCATCTCCGTACTTAAACGCAAGAAGATTTGATGCCGCGGATCCTAAAGCTAGGAAACGAGTTGTAGCAGTGCTTCATGAACTGCTCAGTTTAACAATGGAGAAGAGAGTTACGTGCGCTCAATTAGACGCGTTTCACTCGGAGTATCTACTTCCATCGAGACTAATACTTTGCTTGATAAAGCATCAAGGGATCTTTTACATTACTAACAAAGGAGCAAGAGGTACAGTCTTTCTCAAAGAAGCTTATGATGGTTCTAGTTTAATCGAGAAATGCCCATTGTTATTGTTCCATGAGAGATTTGTTGCACTCTGTGGTCGGAGAGAAGTCAGTTTACGTAACGAAAAGCTGTCTTCAAGCGTTATCTCCTAATCTTACATCAAACCAGAGATTTGATGCATTCGAATGTATCCTTTCTTGTTACAGTCCATTGTCTCCTTATGTGAAGAAAAAGAAGAGTACTTGTTAAGATAGTATTAAACATTTCGCCAACAAACAAAACCGTAAAACACTATCTGTTGATTGAGGATGCTAACTTGACGAAAGCCAGAGAACGTGTCACAGCGCCTAATATGGTACCAAGAGATGGAGATGTGACTAGGTACTGTGAATGTGATATGAACAATCTCATCCATGTGGAAGCAGCTGGTATTATAATACACACACACACACACTTGTTTTTTTCTCAGTGTACACGACTCTCTTTGATTGTTTTCTAGAGAGAAAATGATAACGGAATCTTCCTCGTGTTTACACACATTTAATTTGAATGCAGGGAAAGGGGGTCCAGAACTCATGTGGCTTGTGAAGAGCATCACGGGAAAAGAGCCAAAGGGAAGGACAATTTAAGTCGCACTCCACAATCCCCATTTTAGACCTGAGTCGCATTCATGTTCAAAAACAAAAGGTCAGTGTTTTCATTATTAAGCCTTTTCCTTTTTTAACAGTTTTATGGTAAAATCCACAGTTGCATTATATAACAAACCAAGTCTTTGTCTCGTTGTTTTCTGCCGATGGCCCCGGTTTTTGCGTCTACATTCAAAGCCATCATTTTAAGATAAAACAAACACAACTCTCTTTTCATTGAGTTGGATGGTAATAGGCTGCTTGATACATCAATTTTTGCTTTGCGGATAATACATTTGGTTTTTCGCGATAAACCGCGTAGTTAGTTGTCTGTTTTTGTTCTAAGTAAGGTTCCGTGTCTTGTTTGAACATTGTTAACTAGTCTATATATAGTCGAAACCTGTCAATTTTGAAAATCCATATAAGAAAACACCTATTGGCACAATAGAAAATCCAAAGTCAGA